CCTGATCTTCCAAAGCGGACGTCTTCGTCCTCATGACTGTGCATCAAGAGGCCTGAAAACCAAAAGCAGTAGCTGCAACACGGCCCAGCTTTGGCAGGAGTCCATCATGGCCGGTCAGTGAAAGAATGAAAACTGTAGCAGGACAGCCCCCTCACAGGAGCCCCTGCTGGGCTGCCGCCGCGTGCTGGATCAGCTCCTTCTGCTGGGCTCCAGCGTGGGCCCCGGACTGGACACGTGGCTGCCCAAGCTCCAATCCTAAAGCCACCCTTTATCAACATTTAATGAGGAAAATCTTACAGGCAGGCTGTGTGTGACACAGCAAACCATTTCTGTTCCTCGCAGAAAAGATTCTGGGTTTTTGACATGATGTCAAACTCTACAATGTAACAGAAATGCTTTTATTTTCACAGTATCAGTCCATTTTGTGCTCTATCGTATCCGTATAGGTAGTTTCAAAGTTGTTTTTTTCTCCACTACTGTTTTAGGATCAAGAAGTCTCTCCACAGACATGAATTGACATTTAAAGTGGTCACTATGAGCTCAGGCCCAAAATGATCATTCCTATGATCCCCCTGATCCGTGAAATGAAAGAAAAACGTGGCTTGTGTATTGTGCAGTGGAGACAAAAGAGAGGAAACAGAAGATGAGGGTGGTGGAGAGGTCAGATGAGAGGACTCTGGACAAAAGATGGAGGATCAGCATTGTTCTCCCCCCCTGCCCTCTGAACCCTGCAGCGTAGCTTCTCACACTCCTGATTGGCTGGTTTCAGTTTACCATTTCAGTCTGTGCTTTGTTTTCATCCTATGCAGAATCACACGCTCAGAAGTGTGTGTGAGCCTGACTGTGTAAGATTAGCAAGCAAAGGGCGCATCGGATAGCAGAGAATGCTTTTATAGATAACAATAATTCTGATAACAATACTTCTGATCATATTAGAGACTGTTTCTGCTGCCCCAGAAGGAGGAACCATACTTTTGGAAGGAGGAGGAGAAACACCAAGGAGCCTTTTTTTTCCACTGAAACATTTTATTTTCTTAATGTTTTTGCTCGACAAATACAAACCAGTACACATTTCCTTGTTACAGCCACATGAATCAGAAAAACATTGTGTGTGCGTTTATCAGCCACTGCCGGCTCTTTTTTAAAAACAAATAACCACAGAAACAAAGCAAAAAAATTATTAAAAAATTCAGTCCAGCAACAATGTAGAAAACAAGCCAGCTGTACAACATATACCACTCCTTAAAGTGGACTGAGTGGGAGCTTTCCAGTGGCGTCCAGGTATCCTGCACCCTGTTGTCACAGCTAAACGACACCCAGATTTATGGTGTTTTCACATTTTAATGTTATTTTAATGTTATCTGGAAGGAATCCCATTGACCAAATGTGCCCAACACCTTATTCACAAACACAGTGATGGCATTCCACATGTCTTGTTTTGTCACACTCATATAACATCGGAGTTCCAACCTTTCCGTTACATCTCCATCTGAAGTCATTTCATCAGATGGAGTCTGAGTTTTAGTCTTGCCAGTTTGGAATCGGTCCAGTAGGATCTATTTAATATCTTCTAATAAATGAGTAGAGATTGTGCTTCACGCAAATAACAGTACCATGATGCACATAATTTTTTCCAGTCTTTTTGGAATATCTTGAGCTGGGTCCCTTATCCCAACAAGCTTTAAGGCGTCCAGTTTAGGCGCTTGCATACTTTTAATAAGTTCATAGAAATTTGAAGATCCTCTTTTTTCTCTCCAATCTCATGGGAAATTACCTGGATTTCTGTCTGACTGTGCTGAATATGTTTGTTTGAGAGAATGCAATGTCTAATTTGTAAATATTGCCACAATTCTGAGTTAGACAAATTATATTTAGTTTTAATTTAATCAAAGGATTTAAATCCTTGTCTCCTGTCACATCCTCAAGAATGTGATTTCCAAATCTAATCCACATGTCCCAGAAGGAACTTTTCTTACGTATTAACAGTTTCTTGTTACAACATATGGAGGATCTGCCTGATAAATACGGGTCATTTTGTTGTTATTTGAGGAGCAATTTTCCACGACACTCTAGAAAATGCCATTACCGGGTCTGGAGAGGGGACTGGTCTATCTGTGTGTGAGAGGAAGGATGTACCAGCTGTTCCTCTATCCTGACCCACAGCGGGTCCTTGTAGGTGGCAGTTGAATTTTAGATAGCTGCGATAAAGAAAACGACAAGTGATACCAGTCTATTCGTGACAGTGCTAAACCATCCTTCAGCATATAACTTAGCCTGATAAAACAGTTTTTTTTGTTGCCCATATAAACATCTCTATCATTTACATTTTAAGTAGAGCATAATAGAATTTTAGCAGTAACATTCAAGTGATGTGATTGATCTTGGAAGTTAAAACTATTTTAACTAGATTAATTCTGCCCAAATTGAGTTTCTGAAGAACTGGAGATATGTTGGCTTCCATTATCATCCAGACCAGGCGTTAATTTGATGCCCAGATATGTTCATCCTCCAGGCATCCGTTTGAATTTCCAGTTCTTTCTAATATCTGGGGGGTACAATTTTGATAGTGGCATGTCTTCTGATTTTGACCAGTTAACAGTATAACAAGATATCTCCGAGAACAGATTTATCACTGAGCAAATTTCTTGGACTGAGGATTCAGAGTTACTAGATATCATCCAGCAGGAGCTTGTGTTCTTCAGCCGCCTGCACACCCTGTGTGTTTGAATTAGTCCTTGAGGCTAAAGCCAGTGGTTCAATAAATATAGCGAAGATTAGAGGTGATAAAGGCGAGCCTTGTCGAACCCCACCATTTAATCTGATTTGAGGTGACAAAATCCAGTACTTTCTGCCTGGTACAGAAAAGGGAAAATTCAATTTTCCTGTTCAGTATATGCTTTAGTTCACCTTTAAGTTCGTTCAACCTACCCCATGTCTCAGAGTCTTGTCGCTCTGAGTGTTGCTTTTCAAACTTTTTGATGTCTGGCTCCAATTTTAGTAGCTTTTTACTTTCTGCTGTTTTGATAAAGGCACTTCTTTGAATAATACGCGCCCTCAGAAAAGATTTGAAAGCATCCCACATTAGCCCATGGTCTTCTATAGAGCCCTCATTGTGTTCCCAGAATTCCTGCATCTCAGAATAATAAAATTGCAGTTTTCTTCCCTGTTCAGCATACCTCTCATGCTTTTTTCTGCCCAATCCAGAGGATGGAGGACTACATCCACTGGTGCAGGGTGTGATAGAACTGTGTTTCCAATTGTAGAACTCAGCACCTGGCTGACCAAATCACGGGATAGAAGAAAGTTATTTATTCTAGAAATACTTGAGTGGGGATGTGAAAAATGGTAAAGTTCTTCTCATTTGGATGCAATAATTTCCAGATATCAACAAGACGCAACAAGTCTAACAATCTGTCTATTGCCAGTCGTCTGGACTAAGGAGCCATTTTATTATCACAGCTCTTTTACACTGAGGTGTGTGTCACACCTCCAGAAGAAGTGACAGCACAGTAGCTTTATTCTTTAAAGGTGCAGTGCCGTATTTCAGGACTATCCACCTGTAGCACCTGTCCTGTAGCAGTCTAAAGCTTATTGGTCATATTATCTTTCTGCCAGCTGCAGGGTGTTGGCTATTGGTTAGAGGAGCTGTGTGGAGTGCCCAGTTTGACTTTAGCATTTTCAGACTAGAACAGAGACATTTCCTGTTGTGTTGGATGAGTGTGTGTGTGTGTGTGTGTGTGTGTGTGTGTGTGTGTGTGGGTGTGTATGTGTATGTGTGCGTGTGTGTGTATGTGTGTGTGTGCGTGTGTGTGTATGTATGTGTGTGCGTGTGTGTGTATGTGTGTGTGTGTGTGGTCGGACAAACACAGCCCGTGTCCTGTGTCATTTCGTGGCCCCTGATCCTCTGCAGGCCCATGCCCTCAGGTGGTTCAGGGCTCACAGGAGAGCTGGGCAGGGCGGTGGCCAGAGTTAGTGAGCATCATTTAATTTTAGGACTTCATCACCAATATTTCCAACTAAAGGGATCTGAAGCGGAACCTAAACCCAAATTCAGGCAGAACATTTTCTGTCTGGCTCAAAGTGTGCTGGGAATGTGCAGGCAGTGAGTGGGAAAGGCCGGGTGAGACTGACCCCCTGGGAGCTCTGGCATATGTGCAGGAGGCTGCATGATAAACTGAGGGAAGCATGTTCCCGAAAGTCCCATCTGTGTCCTTCTTCATTCCAGCCAGCAACCATCTAACAGGGTAACAGTACGTTTTACTAAATCCGGATAGAGAGTTGTGAATGAAAAACCGAACCTTGGAAATTATGTTTGCCAATTTCCTCCCGATAATGCGGACGATGGGCCAAGACCAGAAAATGGGCTCACTTGAGCTGTCATCTGTGAGGATCCCATCCCAACAGCGCCTAACAGAGTCCGGGTGAGGCCCGTGGAACTGTGGATGCTGAGTAGCTTCGTTGTGTCAGCCTGGATGCAGAGCTGAAAGCAGCTTCAGATTGGTCTTCTCTTTTGTCACTGACCAATAATATGCAGTTTTCACTTTATGAGGAACTTTCTTATTATTGGACTATCTTTGTAGACCCATTTCCAGTATGTGAACTAGAAGACACATTCTTACCAGTTTCCTTGTAGTCGCTTTAAATGCAGCCAAGGGTTCGTGTTCCCGAACGATTAGCTTCTCTTTCAGATTGGCAACAGCGTCGCTGCCCTCTCACTTTCATTCTGAGAGGCATGCGGTTTTTCTTCATGTTGTTAAATTCTTCTGCTTGCTCCTTCTTTCAGGCTGCCATTGGCTGAGCACACCATGACATGCTCTAAGCTCAGCCAGTGAGGGAGCGTGGCTTGTGGTTCTGGAACTCTTGGAATAGCACTGCTCACTGAGCAGATCCAGGACCTGGTGTCTGCCAGAACATCTGCTGTTACACGCAAAAACAGATACCTCTCAATAAGTACATCTGGGGTCCTAGTCTGACCATCCTGTCCTCTCTCCCTCCTCCAGACAACATCCCCAACAGGTCAGGGCCGCCCCCTGTCTCCCATCTACGCCAACCTCCAAGAGCTGAAGATCTCTCAGGCCAGCCAGCCACCAGTCCCCTCGGGCTCCCCGCTCCACATCTTAGGGGACTGGGAGACCCACAAAGACGTGAGCGGCAGGCATTTCTATTACAGCAGGGCCTCTGGGGAGCGGACCTGGAAGCCCCCGCGCAGCAGGGAGCCCGGCAGCAGTGTCCGAGGAGACAGCCAGAGACCAGCAGGGACTGAGGTACGGCAGGCTGAGACTACCTGGGAGAGGGGGGGCCAGCAGCGCGTCACAGCCTCAGCCCTGGCTCCATCCCCAGGCTTTGAGGTGGAAACGGTGCTGCTGGACTTTCCTCTCAGCTTCTTGTGGTGTTTGACCATGCTGTCCTCGTGTGGTGTTCTCAGTTACTGCACCACACACAGCAGGCCCCTGAAAACATGCCCCAGCTGGGATTACTGAGTTACAGTACGGAGACCACATATTTGCCACTGTTTGGGGGCTTAGTGTACATTTCATGAAAACAAACAGCGGCAGGTCCCCCCCGGACAGGTGGCCAGTCCATCACGGGCCAGTGGACATACCAGTTAGTGGTTTCTGAGAGCTGGGTGTAGAGGTGTCTCTCCTTGGCCTGGTGCCACAGGAAGTCTCCAGTGTGTGTCTGCGTCACCGGTCTGCTCTGCTTCCTCCTCCACAGCAGCCCAGATCAGAGGAGAACTGGGACAGCACCTACTCCAGTCAGTCTGACAGCCAGAACGGACTGCCCCCTAGAGGCTGGTCGGAGGAGCTGGACGAACATGGACAAACCCTCTATGTGTCTGAGTACACACAGGAAAAGGTGGAGTGTGCCCTCACCTCTCTGCCCTCTGTGGTGGGTAGTGTACGTGCTGGTCCTGAGACCTGTCTGTGTTTGCAGTGGATCAAACATGTGGATGAACAAGGCCGGCCTTATTACTACATTGCTGATGGGTCCAGATCGGAGTGGGAACTGCCCAAGGTGAGATGACCTTGTTGCTGTCATGTCCTTCCTGTCACAGCTTACATCAGTGAAGAGCAGCACCCTCTAGCAACTGTTGGTGATGAAGAGGAGCTCACAGAGTCCAAGCTCTGTGGGATTATTGGGGGTTCCTCTTTTCCAAATTGAGGGCTTTAAAGTAGATCAAGACAGACATCTCCATTCCCACAATGAATGGACAGAGGTGTAGTCAAACTTGAGCCGTGGCTGTATGCAGCAATGCTCTCGGGGTCTTTGTCCAGGGCTGCTGTGGACAGCAAAAGGAGAGGTAAGGGGGAGAAAGACACCAGGCGTCTTGTAGTGCGACTTATACGACCATGAACTCGAGCTCCTTGCTCTATCTCTGCAGTATGACATATCCTCTCAGTCCACCGAAGTTCCTAAGAGTCGCAGTCTGGAAAGGAAGCAGCAGGATCCCATCGTCCTGACCAAGTGGAGGCACAGCACCTACGTCTTAGATCTCAACAGTAAGGTAGGAGGAGACCCTGGATAGGTTTCATGAATCCACCACTTCTATGGATACTGTGATAAGGTTTCAGCTGCCTTTGGTGGATGCATCTGTATGGGTGGAGCTGGAATACTGCCATCCAGCACATATCTGAGCTGCTCCTCTGCTGGGCTGCAGCCCGGGTCCTCCACCGGGCTGGGGACGCTGTAATGCTGGACCTAATGCATTTGGCTATACTTTATACATTTGCCTGGTAAATAGTTGTTTTGTTGAGGGTTACGCTGCCCTTTTCACATTTTTTCCAATTTTGGTGTGTGCACAATGCTCTGCTTTTTGCTCTGTGCATAACATCTGCACACACCTGCGATACCAGGTGAACACATGTCTTCAAATCATATCCAGGGAGTTTACTGAGGAGTAGCCTGTCGGTGGCAGAGATCACTCTTTCAGCAGGGAAAGCTTCTGTGTGGCGGCGGGGGGGCAGCGTGTGGATATAATTCTGTGCTCTGTGTAAAGCTGAGCTGGCGGGTTAAGCTGCATCTACTCCCCACACCGGCCCCGTTGCACAGTTAGAAACAGGGTGGCTCCAAACTGTTGGAACTCTCCCTTTGTCTGAATGATGTCCCTCTTGTTTGGTGTCAGATAGATCACTTCATGCAGTGTATCAATCACATGACCTGACCCAATAAACCTGGACCTTTGTGACCTGCACTTTCCTCAGTCTGCCGTTCACCATAAGCTGAGTGAACAAGGACATCCCGTGTCCCTCTCTGCCTTACCGCAGACGTCCTGTATCCTGCTGTAGCGAGCTGCAGATTGTTGGATTCCCAGCATGTTGTGTGTGGTAGGAGTGCTTCAGCACCCAGTCAGAGCTCTCCAGAGTCTGCCTGCTGCCGCCCGTCCACTACTAGCCCTGCTCACTCACGCCCAGAGCAGCCCACACCACCTGTGAGACACTGGGTCTGTGGCAGGCTGCACACATGCACACCTCCACGCCTGCACCGGCCTAATGAAAGGATGCCCCCTGCTGTTCAGAGGTGGACAGGACGCCAGGCGTGAGCATCAAGCTTCAGTGTGTGTGTGTGCATGTTTTTATCTATGTACCTGTCTTTTTTTCTCTAGCCTTCAGAGAAGTGTGGGGTTCTCAATGTCACCAAAACCACAGAGAATGGAAAGAAAATCAGGTAGCAGTAAACTTAGAAGGTTCCCCATTTATTTCAAAGACTCCTTTTCTGAATGTGCACATTTTGTTAATGGGGTTAATCCTGACCCACAGGAAGAATTGGACCTCCTCATGGACTGTCCTGCAGGGTTCCTCCCTCCTCTTTGCAAAGGGTCAGGGGGGTAGCACCTCCTGGGTACGTATCCCCGAGAGACTCACAGCTCGGCTGTTTCTGAGCCCTTTGCAGCATTCCATTCATCTCCATCCATCCATCCATCCATTAGCAATACCGCTTATTCCCTCATGGGGTCGCGGGGGGAACTGGAGCCTATCCCAGTGGTCAACGGGCGAGAGGCAGGGTACACCCTGGACAGTCCGCCAGTCCATCGCAGGGCCACACACAGGACATACAAGGACAAACAACCACTCACACTCACATTCACTCCTAAGGGCAATTTCCCCAATCTCCAATCAGCCTAACATGCAGGTTTTTGGACTGTGGGAGGAAGCCGGAGAACCCGGAGAGAACCCACGCAGACACAGGGAGAACATGCAAACTCCACCCAGAAAGGTCCTGGTTCCCCCGGGATTCGAACCCAGAACCCTCTTGCTGGGAGGCGAAAGTGCTAACCACCACACCACCGTGCCGCCTTCCATTCATCTCTTTTCTGTATAATCGTTGGTCTTCAAGGGGAAGTTTGTCATTGTCTGTTATTTGCGTTCTGTCCTGCTGTCTCCTCTGTGGAGTGCAGGCCTGTGCAGGCAGCCGCTGTATGTCCTGCTCCTGCATGTTCCTCCCAATAAGTTTCTGTTCAAACAAGTTAAATGAGCTCCCTAGAATATGGAACCAGTGTCTGACCTTAGCCCTAAATCAGTTGTACTCTTATGGGCAGTGAGATCCATCTGGTCCTTCATGCTCAGACTGGGTGCAGAAAAAGCCTACACATAGCATAGCACTTACACAAACACAGCTGGTTTACTTTCCTGTTTGACCCCAGCAGCCAGCCCTCATCATAGCTACTGACTCAGTTAGCACTTCCTCTGTCTTTTCCAGAAGTTTGGCAGCAATCAGTCAAAGCCTGAGTTCACTGTGGATCTGCGTGGAGCCCTGCTGGACTGGGCCTCCAAGGACAAGTCCAGCAAGAAACACGTCATTGAGGTACAACACGCAGCACAGCTACCAGCTTTGAGCACCAGCCCCCCCGTGCTTGACCTGTCCTCATTTGCATTGCCCAGCTGAAGACCCGGCAGGGCACAGAGCTGCTCATCCAGTCAGAGATCGACAGCGTCATCAATGACTGGTTTCGGGCCCTCACAGAGACCATCAACACTCATGTGAGGGCACATCCAGAGCTTTGATCTTCTCATATGACTATAGTCCACTCAGCCACATCTGTGTACATCTGTTTGATCTGATTCCACCTAATCTTAAATGTGTCTCTTTCCTCACAGCCGTCGGAGTCAAATGAAGCCATGGAGGAGGACATACCTGAGTCTCCAGGGGCCGAGAAACAGGACAAAGAGAAAGACCACAGAGACTGTAAGAAGAGCAGAGGTGAGTTAGCTGAGTCTGCTGGGGGAACCTGGAGTAACTACACATTCTTTCCATTCTGTTTTTGGCTGAACTTGACATCAGTATTTTTTACTTTGGCCTCATGTCTCCGTGGTTCTTCGGACAAGCCCTTGACTCTAAACAGTTTGGAAATGTCCTCATAAGCCTTCTCAGATTTGTGGGCAGCAGCCATTGCTTTGCTAAGATCATTGCTGATATCCTTCCTCCTTAACATTGTGTTAACAAATCAGAGCTGCAAACTGAAAACATCAGCTTCTGTCGAGGGGCTCCTACCTGCTGATGACCAGTTAGCTATATACATGGGATTAAGTGCTGCTTCTTATCTGTTCCCTTCCTCAGATGCTGCTTTTGCTTTTAGGCTTACTTTTGGGATATAAGTAATAGTAGGGTGCCATATGTGTTCTTTCCAGTCTTCACTTTTCAGTCAGAGTTTATTTTTGATTCTATCTTAGTATGTAAAATCCTTTAGCAAGTCTGTATCAGAGTATTTCTGGTTTTCCTCAGGCATGAGGACTTCAGTTAGCATGGACTCTTCAGACCAGAAGAAAACCAGGATGAAGCTGAAGAAGTTCCTGACACGACGACCCACATATCAATCTGTCTGCGACAAAGGATACATCCAAGGTTATTTCCAACACTGACATAAAGCCCTCGTAGAAGAGGCTGAGGCTGACTAACAGAGGTTTGTCTGATTCCAGATCAGGTGTTTGGCTGCAGTCTGACCAGTCTGTGCCAACGGGAGAACACTTCAGTGCCTAATTTTGTCAACATGTGCATCGACCACGTGGAGAGCACAGGTATGATGGACAGCCAGCGGATCCCAAAAGCCCCTTTCATTCATGTGATTGCCCTTTAAACACAGAGGCACCCTCTGAATGAATGCAAGTTTTTTAAGATACGGGCGTCCTCTCAGTCCCATGCTGTGGTCAGCTTGTGAATTCGGGAGATGCCATACGGTGTAGACTGACACCACATCTCTGCTCTCACCGGTAGGTCTCCATATTGATGGCCTGTACAGAGTGAGTGGGAACCTGGCAGTGATCCAGAAGCTCCGCTTTGCTGTCAATCATGGTGGGTGTGCCTGGAGCTTCTTCTGGAGTTTGAACCTGATTGTGCTCGCCGTCTGTAAGATGTGTGGGATCAGAACAGTTGTAGTGGTTGTAATGTCTCCTATGGTGTGTTATTTGGCTTGTGTCAGATGAGAAGGTGGATCTGAATGACAGCAAGTGGGAGGACATCCACGTCACCACTGGAGCTCTCAAAATGTTCTTCAGGGAACTTCCTGAGCCTCTCTTCTCTTATGGATTCTTCAGTGACTTTGTGAACGCCATCAGTGAGTGAATTATTGAATGTGTGTCAGCTGCTCCTGTTCTGAGGACCTCATTCAAGCAGTCCAGGATGCTGAGCTCCCTCTTACATCGTAGTTCCTAATGTGGCCACGAGATGGCAGTCTGCACATTTTCATTTTATGTTTCTCTGCCTCAGAATTCTTAGACTATGACCAGAGAGTGAATTCTATCAAAGATTTAATCAAGAAGCTACCCAAACCAAACCAGGACACCATGCAGGCTCTCTGCAAACACCTGCGCAGGTAGGACCACACACATGACTTTTATCCTTTGTCTTTTCAATTCTTATTCAAAAACTTTCCAGTGCCCAATCAGATCAGCAGATTTGTCTCCATCCTGAGAGATCCTGGCAAATTCTTTATAAAGCAAGAAATACATTATTTCCTGCACACATACAACAATTGTTTACAGAGAGAGATGGAAAAAATAATCTAAGAGGAAAATTAAATTTCAAAACTAAGTGTGTTCGAACAACAAAAAGAACCCTCAGTTTATCAATTAGCGGAGTGAAGATCTGGAACAGCTTGCCTGAAAATATTAAACAATGTAATAGCATCCAGCAATTAAAAAAACAATATAAGAAAAGTATTTTTGATGAATACAAAAAAGAATAATACATAAAAAGTTATACTGTTTGTCTTACTGTAATCGTCCTTTACCACCACGACTCATGTAACTGAGGGGGGGGCTTAATAAGCTTAAGCTTCATCCTGCTCCTTTTTGAAACATGATGCATGTTTAGGAAGCATTCTATGTAAACATTGTAAAAACATGTCAAAATAAAATCAAAATGTTTCAAAATAAACAAAATGAAATTAAATGAAATGAGATTCATAGCGAAATTTATTTTGAATGTCTCTGGTCTAAATCATTTTTCATTGAGGCTCCAGAGTTATTTTTTAAAACTAAGCCATGATAACAATTCTAGGTTTTTGTTCCAGTATTGGCATAGAAATGGATTTTGTTACCCAGAAGAGACATTAAACCTCCCAGGAAATCGCTGAAATCTAAGCAGACACAGGACTCTGAGCTGCTTTGCTGTCTGACTCTTCCACACTGATCCTCACACTGATGGTAAAGCTCAGGATACACCCAGTGTGTGTGCTCAGCCAGTGGCAGTATCATGTGTTCACAATCACTTTGGTTCCCAATTTACATTTATATGGTGCTGTGTTTGCTGTAATTCAGTTCCTATGAAGTGGTGTTTCTTGAGGAAATTTATAGCGTGACATTCAGCGTATGGAGGTTTATGTACACCAGCAGGCGGATTTAATCTTCCTTTTTCCTTACTTCCATGAATATGTTATTGTTTTGAGCATCTACATGCAAGGATGTAGATTCTATTTAAAAAGGCTATTATGCTGTTGCCTGGAGCTTGTTTGTGCGTGCGTGTGTGTGTGTGTGTGTG